TTTTCTAAAATGGAGGGGGAAAAGCTCCATAAAATCATCACTTATATATTGTGACTCTGAACAAATAACACTAAACTATAAGTCCAAACATCAGGTCTCTAGACTTGGATTTGCCACAGGCTCACTGCATGTCACTTAACTTCTCTGGGCCTCAGTTTCCTCACCGAAAAATGTGAGGACTAGGTCAGACCTGTATTTCTCAAAACAGAGATGGGAGAGGGGATTCAAACTACTCATTCCCCAAATGCTGAAATCACCTTGTCTCCCCTCACAACAAAGTGTTACTGACAGGGGTCTGGTAACTCTTAGCTGTGATGGAATGTGAAAAGGTCAAAGCACTGGGCTAGACAATTCTAGTCCTTCTACCTGACATTTCCCAATTCCATCGTCTCAGGATCTATGATAAATAAGTAGTAGTTACAAGAACACAGGCTTTGGAGGTCACACTGGGGCAGGTAGTTAACCTCTCTGAAGTTTACCTTAGTTTCGTTTCCTCACAGGTAAAATTAGGTGGCAATACCTACCCCACACGGCTGTCGTTAGAATTTAATATTAAGTACTAAAACGCTTACCTCTGTGCCAGCACACAGTAAGGAGACATAAACGACAGGCTTGATTATTACTATTTGTACAGAGATCTACAGTGCAACATAACGGTCAGTGCAAGTGCCACAAGACAGTGCACAAAACGAGCGTTAAGAATTTCAACTTCTGGGGGCGCCTGGGTGGCTCAGTGGGTTAAGCCGCTGCTTTCGGCTCAGGTCATGATCTCAGGGTCCTGGGATCGAGTCCCGCATCGGGCTCTCTGCTCAGCAGGGAGCCTGCTTCCTCCCCACCCCCTCTCTGCCTGCCTCTCTGTCTACTTGTGATCTCTGTCAAATAAATAAATAAAATTAAAAAAAAAATAGAATTTCAACTTCTGTTCCCCGGAAACAAGGAAGCCGCCTGGATGCAGGGGATATATGAGCAGAGTTTTGAAGCAGACTACTTTTGCGGATATGGGATAAGAGGAGTGGGATAAGAGTGTTCCAAGTGAAAGCGAAAACGCCTCAGAATTACCTCGATTTTACTTCAGTATCTATGCCCTATTAACTCTGAAAAGACCCCTGCCCCCTTTTCGCGCCCGCTTCCGGCCGGCCCCATCAGGACTCCACCTTGAGCACAATGCTGAGGTCCTGTACCGGCTCCTCGTTGAGATGCAGGCGCCCCTCCCGGACTGCGGCCTCATAGTATGCCAGGGGCTGGGCTCGGAATTCGGTGCTGAAGACGTGCAGCAAGCTGTGGCCCACCCAGCGGCCCTTGCAGTAGGTCCGGAAGTCAAAGTAATAAGGCCGTACTTTGCGCAGGCCGCCTTCGAAGTAGTAGCTGGTCTCTGCAAAATGCTCATCGCTGAAGCTCACCCCTGCCCGCCGCTTCTTCGGGGGTGGCACGACGCGCTCCCTGGTGGCGTCCCGTCGCTTCTTACGCTTGCCTGGGCCCGAAGGGGCAACCGGGGCCTGCTCCTCGCTCATTGGGGTCTGCTTCCCGACCTCCTGGGGCGGCTCCACTCCCGCGTCCACAGGCTTCGGGCTTCCGGAGGTCCGCTCACCCCTTGCGTCGCCACCTGCGTCTCCGTTTTGTTGAACCGGAGCCCTCAGCCCACTCGCTGCCTCGGCCCCAATCGAGAATGTTTCTGCCATCGGACCCCAACAACTACCCCAAGTCCTGGCAGAGGTGAGGCGCCCGAGGTTGAGGTACCCTTGTAGAAAAACTGGGAGCCACCGGCAGCCGCCCGGCCACATGACAAGCCGGCCCCAGGTCCTGGGTCGCGATGTGAGGACGTCACCGGGCACGAGCCAATCAGCGAGGCCCTGTGTCGAGGCTGGGACTGAAAAGAGAGGGAGTGACGGAGGGAGTTGAATGAGTGGGGTCGAATGTGTTGAGTTGCCAGTTGAGAAGCAGTGAGAGTGAATGTAGGAGTCAGTTCAGTGGGGGAGGCTGTGAGAATGACTCATCAAAAGTGTAGATTCCATGTAGATAACGCCCAAAGTCCCTTGGATCTGGAAAATGAAAGGAGTTTTATTCAAAACAAATCAGAATGAGGATTGCTGAACTCAGTATACTAAGAAGGGCGGTGTTGTATACTTTAAAGGGTGAATATTATAGTGACTTATAATTCAATAAAGCTGTTACATGTGTATCTAAACATGCACAGCCCAGAAGAAATGTCTTCACATATATCCTTCCTGAGGATTAGAAAGCTCCCATTTGCCTTTCATATGCTCCTATCGGGTTAAAACGGCAAGTGGATCAGAAGTATTTGTCAGTGTTCTTAAGTGCAAAATACAAAACCAACTCTGGTTAACTTAATCAGAGAGGCGATTACTGAAAGGGTAGTAGTGCCTCATAAAATAAAGAGAGCTGGAGAACAGGTTCAGAAACAGCCAAATCAAGAGAAGACAGGCCTCAAGGCACCTGGGTGGCTCAGTGGGTTAAAGCTTCTGCCTTCGGCTCGGGTCATGATCCCTGGGTTCTGGGATCGAGCCCCCCCCATCGGGCTCTCTCTCAGTGGGAGCCTGCTTCCTCCTCTCTCTCTGCCTGCCTCTCTGCCTACTCTCTTTGTAAAATAAATAAAATCTTTTTTTTTTTTAAAAAAAGAGAAGACAGGCCTCTGTGAACCAGCTACATGACAAGAGGGTGAATTGTATGGAATGTGAATTCTATTTCAATAATTTTTTTTTTTAAGAATGTTTTTCCTAATGTGTTTGAAGCACAGACAAGGAATGAGATATTGGAACGTTCTAGAGAGGAAGTCCTTGTGGGATTATATAAAGCCTTGCTCCTCAAAATGCAGTCTCTGGATTAGCAACATGGGAAACACCTGGAAACTTGCTAGAACTGCAGAATCTTGTTCCTTCTTTCCTCCTGAACTACTGAATGAGAATCTGTATTTTAACAATATCTTCAGATGTTATGTCTGTATATTAACATTCGAGGAGCGCTGGTATAGACCATGTAGAGTAGACATTTGTCATTTTTGGGGGATATTCAGCATCTTCTTAACACTCTTCTTTTGTGTGAGGAATTTCCCACATTATAAGATGTGGAAACCAGAAACTGGACTTCTCAGATTCCCTTACAGCCTGGGCGTTCATCACCTGGGCTCCATTGATCAGTCAGGGCCATTAGTTCAGAGGCACACAGTAGAGGAAGCAGGCACAGTGTAGAGCCCGTGTGTAACAAGATAGCATTGGAAACATCTGATTCGGAGAGCTAACAGTAGGGGAGATTCTTGTGTCCAGTGGTCAGTCAGCAATGCCAGCTGCAGTATCTATGTATATACAGCAGGAACAGTGTCTAAACCTCACCAAGGGACTCAGGAAATCCCCCAATGCCTCTGAACATAGAGGGATAGGGAGAAGCAGACTCCCTGCTGAGCAGAGAGTTGGACATGGGGCTCAATCCCAGGACCCTGAGATTATGACCTGAGCCGAAGGCAGATGCTTAACTGAATGTGCCACCCATGCATCCAAGATACCCTCCTCCTTGTTCAAGATATTTGAGAGGCTACATTTGTAATCAAGAGTTTGTTTGGTGAGCAGGTTATCAGGGAAAATGGCATGAGTTTGAACGTCACAGAGTAGCTTGATGAAACACCTATAAACCTATGACAGTGACCCTTTCTATGAATCAGATGCTGCCAGATTCATGTCTCCAGTCCAGTGGCAGTTGGAGGACTCTGGGGAATCTCTCACTTATAGACTTGTCCCCCAACTACCTACTTATTTCCTATGAATAAACCCTGAAAAAATCTTGCCTGTTATTTGCTTCTTTGCTTTCTAATCTTCTTGCTTTCCACTTCCTTCTGTTTGCATAGCTAAGGATGGTGAAGGATGGTTATAAATATGAACAGCAGAGTTCCTCAGAGTTCTCTTTTCATGGTGGTAGTTACTAACCATAACTACGCTGATTGGCTTTGGATACATCTAAAGGCTATAGCCTCAGTCAAGTTATGTCTACTGATGGTTGGCTAATGCCTTTGGTCACATGTTTCTTTGGGAGAGAGTTAACTGGCCTGGAAACTGGGGGTGGAGAGTAGGGGAGGAAGGGTTACATCTTAGGGAAATGTTAAGCTCTGAAAGATATAAAAAAGACATCTCCATCTTCTTTTTTTTTTTTTTTTCCCCAGCGTGGAGCCCAAAGCAGGGCTCAAACTCACAACCCTGAGATCAAGATCTGAGTGAGATCAAGTTATACGCTTAAATGACAGGGCTACCCAGGCGCCCCAAAAGTCATCTCCTTTAAAAAATCTGACATACTCCCTTACCATTCTCTCCTTTATGTACACTGGCCACACTTCTGTCATATCTTCTATAACTCTTTGCTGTTATTTGTAAAATTGTCTACCCCTATGGTGCACCTTCCTACATTTGGCTGTAAAGACTCTGGGACCCATACAAACTCTTACCGGTCTTGAATTACCGCTTAACACAAGTCTTAGAACAGGAGGTGCTCGGTGTCTATTGACTAAATGAATAAAAGAAAGCCTAACTTGGCTAATGGGACCTGGGTCTCCTGTAAGACTAAGGAAAGTAGTCTCCTCCTTCCCCATTCGAGCCGCCGGAGTGCTCTAATTTGGGTAGCAAAGGGATGAAATTTTCAGAAACAAAACACCCACCCAGAGGATTGCCGAGGAGGTGAATTTGCTCAGGTAACCAAGAAAACTCAAAGACCTGGGCAACTGGGCTTCCCTCTCCGAGAAGAGGATGGCCCGAGGACTCGGTCTCCGGGCGAGGAACACTCAGGTAAGACGCTAGTGGAACCTGTCTCAGAGAAGGTGGGGGCCCAAGGCATGTGACTCCACTGTATCCCCGCGACAAGTCCCGCCTACCTCTTTTTCTCACTCTGTTCCTCACTTCCTTACCCGGCCGAGCTCCTGTCAGCCAATCCACGCACAGAACATCGCCAGGTTGGGCGGTGGTTGGAGGACTCCCGGGGTCCGTCACTCGGAGACTCCGCCCCCCTACTTCTTCCTACCCGTCCGCGCCGGAACTTAACCGAGCATTTGTGAGCTGGTGGGTAGGCGTTTGCGGTAGGTGAAGAGGATAAAGGTGCCCAGCGTTTTAGATCCTCTGCCCCAGTCCCATCCCAGGATACCACGGAGGGACCTCGGGGTCTGACTTCTCCCCTCCAGCCAGTTTGTGAGCCCAGAATGACTGAGCCCCGGGTCTGAACGCCAGGATTCCCTGTGCTGTTCTGGGCTTCTAGGGAGGAGGGGGAAAGGACCCGGGCCCCGGTGAGAGGAAAGTTTTGGTTTGGGTGGGTTCAAACGACTTCGGGATGGGGATGGAGGTTTATCGTGGACCCTGGCATCAATTCTTCCAGGGCCGCTGTGACTTATTTGTCCCCTCTTCTAGGCGCCTGCTTTGCCTGAACTGTTACTCCTGGAATTATTCAAACCTTACCTCAGGCAGCCTTCCTAATCTAAAAGGTCCCTCCTGAAAAGAAGGTGTCAACCATTTTGTTAAGACTAGATAATTGTGAAAGTCCCAGGCAGTGTGGTGTTGGATAAGAACGTGGATTTTGGAGTGGCACAGGTCTGGTTTCCAGTCAAGGAATCACCATCAGCAAGGGACCCTTGACTAGTTACCCTTCTGATCCTCAGTTCCTTCGTTTGTAAACTGATGGAAATGTCTCTTCTAGTGTTTCTGCCTATTAAAATAAGAACTTATAAAATAATAAGGTATATAGTCCAGCTTTTCTACATGTAATGAGCAGATGGAGTTTTGCATATGACATTTCTTACAGTTTTCACCAAGAAGCATTTTTATTATCCTCGTGTATTTGGAACTCTGCAAGGCCTTTAGTGTGTGTCCTATTGAAAACAGAATTTAATTGGCTTAGGACAGGATGGAGATCTTTGGAAAGAAGTGCAGCATGGTTGTCTCCACTGGGAATGTCTTAGAAGTGTGTGTGTGTGTGTGTGTGTGTGTGTGTGTGTGATGAAATATATAACAAAATTGCCATTTTAACCATTTTTAGATGTGCAGTTTTGACACATCTGGTTGTGCAACCATCTCGAATATCCTTCTCTAGAACTTCCCAAACTAAAACTCTGTACCCATGAAAAAGTAACTCCCATACCCTCCTCTGCCAAACCCCTGGCAACCACCATTCTATTTTCCAACTCTATGAATTTGACTGTAGGTACTTCATTTAAGTGGAATCATTCATTATTTGTCCTTTTGTGTCTGGCTTGTAGGCATTTCATTTTTAAAAAGAAACTTTGTTATGAAAACAACTTGAGTGCAGAGCCAGAAGAGGAATCCGATTGCCCTTTTGTCATCTTTATATTTGTAACATAGGAATCTAATAAAAGACATTTTCACCTTCTTTCACTGGGTAAACAAATATCTGAGTACTGCATACTTATAATATATCCTTAAAGCCAGTCCTTCATGTTTTTCAGCTCAGATTCCAAATGAAAATGTTTGAGAGCATTGACTCTACAGCCACAAGATCTGGCCCTGATCTTTGGGCTGAAATCTGTTCCTGTCTGCCAAATCCTGACCAAGAAGATGGTGCCAGCAATGCTTTCTCAGACTCCTTTATGGATTCTTACCCTGTGGGCACAGGCCAAAGGGAGGCCCCAGAGTTTGCTGTTCAGCCGGCTGCAAAGCCTTGGGCTCCCTTGCAGGATTCAGAAGTGTATTTAGCAACTCTAGGTAAGTTAGATGGCTTTTTTTTTTTTAATCAGAAGTCGGTGGTTTTAAGGAAGCATGTTGGCATGTGGAAGTTCACTTTCATCACCTAGTTTCTATTCTTTTTTAAAAGATTTCTAGTTTATTTATTTGACAGAGAGCGAGAGAGCACAAGAGCCGCAAGTGGGTGAGGGGGAGAAGGCGGCTCCCGGCGGAGCAGAGAGCCCATGGTGGGGAACTTGGGGCTTGGCTCAGATCTCTGGGATCATGACCTGAGCCAAAGGCAGACGCTTAACCTAACCGACTAAGCCACCCAGGCGCCCCTCTATTACATATATTTTTTATTTTTATTTTTTAAAGATTTTATTTATTCATTTCACATAGAGAGATCACAAGTAGGCAGAGAGGCAGGCAGAGAGAGAGGAGGAAGCAGGTTCCCCACTGAGCAGAAAGCCCAATGCGGGACTCGATCCCAGGACCCTGGGATCATGACCTGAGCCGAAGGCAGAGGCTTTAACCCACTGAACCACCCAGATTCCCCGCCCCTCTATTATTACTATTTTTTGTCCTCACCACATGTATTAGATGTAATTCTAAGGAGGTGTTTTGGGTTGGTTGTTGGCAAGGAGCACCCTTTACCTTTTTTTTTTTTTTTAAGATTTTATTTTTTAAGTAATCTCTACACCCAACGTGGGGCTTGAACTTACAACCCTGAGATCAAGAGTTGCATGCTCTACTGACTGAGCTAGTCAGGCACCCCAGGGGCACCCTTTTCCTTGTATATCCCTTTAAACAGTCTTTGTTACCTCCTGCCTCTGTTTCATCTGAATTCTGCTTCATTTCTTGGCATCCTGTGGAACCCTCTTGCCTATTATCGGTTGCCCATATATTCAGATAACTCAGAAGTGTCAAACATTATGCCATCCTGAAAGAAAAGTTCCCCAGAGCTGCACATGGATTTCTGATGAAACTCTTATATTGAAAAACTACTGTATGAAAAAACTATAATATTAAATGGATTGATTGTTGGAGTGGGAGCATGTTGACATAAAATAATTCTACCTCTTGTTAGTCATATAATTCTTTAGTCATTTAATTTTTCAAATATTTCCTCAAATAGCTGTCTTGTGTTAGTATTTAAGTGTTAGTATTTCGAGAGACTCGGAATATAGGAAAGAGAGTCAGATTGTCCCATTCAAGGAGAAAGAAATGTATCAGTCTAGGGAAGTGATTGCTTTAGAATTGTGGTATCGTTTTATTATTAAAAACCCATGAGGCCCATCTATGTGTCACAAAACCAAACCTGGGAATAATCATTTGAGGAAGGAAAGGCAATTTAGGAAGAACCTTTTGAGGAAGGGCAGAAAGAATCAGAATAGAGTTTACATGATCTCTAAGAAATACCTTGGAAAAACAAAAGGAGTTTCGTTAATGATGTACTGGAGGAAAAAGATGTGGGAAAAACACAAGTAGAATGATGGATAACAAGAAACATCCAGGTGTAATGTGAAATTTTTCTGGAAGCTACCAAAGTTAGGATAGTAGTACTTGCAGCTGTGGCCAAGGAGGTTGACAATTCTGTTCTGTGGCAGTCAGAACATCAGTTTAATGATAAGGAGAAGCAGCAGCAACAGTCTAAGAAAGCTGGAGAACCAGATCCTGTGGCTTGTTGGTACTCTGTGCCCAGGGGTTGTAAGAAACTTTCATGGATTCGGTGATGATTTGATTGGTGAAGACTGGTTTGGAAGGTTAAAACTCCACAGATCTTTTCTAAAATCAGTGAAGAAGATGATTAAGGGGCACCTGGCTGCCTAATCAGTAGATCCTGGCTCTTGATCTCAGGGTTGTAAATTTGAGCTCTACATTGAGGTAGAGATTACTTTAAGATGTTAAAAAAAAAATTTTTTTTTTAAAAGATGATTAAAAGTTCATTCTCTGGGGGCACCTGGGTGGCTCAGTTGGTTAAGCATCTGCCTTCTGCTCAGATCATGATCTGATCCTGGGGTCCTGGGATCAAGCCCCATGTCCTCCCGCCCTCTGCCACTCCCACACTTGTGCTCTCTCTCTTTCAAATAAATAAAATCTTTAAGAAAAACTTTCATTCTAAGGGTGTCTGGGTGACTCAGTTGTTAAGCGTCTGCCTTCAGCTCAGGTTATGATCCCAGAATCCTGGGATCGAGCCCTGCATCAGGCTCCCTGCTCGGCGGGAGGCCTGATTCTCCCTTTTCCACTCCCCCTGCTTGTGTTCCCTCTCTCACTGTGTCTCTGTCAAATAAATAAAGTCTTTAAAAAAAAAAAAAAGTTTTCATTCTCTGAAGGATAAGAGCCATTTCTTTGCCTGTGGCAGAATCTGGGAGACAGTAGCAGGCAGGCTGGGAGTATGCAGGGGTGCCTCTTTCTGCCTGCACAACTTAGATCACACCTAATTAGGGACTGAGCACACTCAGAGAGGGGAAGACTTTTTCTTTTTTTTTTTTTTTTAGTTTTTTTTTTTTTTTCTTTTTGATAGACAAAGATCACAAGTAGGCAGAGAGGCAGGCAGAGAGAGAGGAAGAAGCAGGCTCCCCGCTGAGTGGAGAGCCCGATGCGGGGCTCCATCCCAGGACCTTGGGATCATGACTTGGGATCATGCTGAAGGCAGAGGCTTTAACCCACTGAGCCACCCAGGCGCCCCATGGGGGGGAAGACTTTTTCAAGCCCCAAAGAGTACCTTCCACCTTTAGAACCAAGGCAAGACAATAAAATTATTCCCAGATAGACCTGAATCAAAAAGAATGTGGGGCGCCTGGGTGGCTTAGTTAGTTGAGCATTCCACTCGTGATTTTTGTCACGGTCATGATCCCAGGGTCATGAGATTGAGCCCCTGGTTCGGCTCTGTGCTTGGCAGGGAGTCTGCTTGAGGTTCTCTCTCTCCCTTTCCTTCTGCTACCCAACCCCCCACCATGCCTATGTATGCTCTTTCTCAAGTAAATAAATAAATCTTAAAAAAAAAAAAAGACTCCACTATGAGCAGCAATTAAAAACTTAGCCAGCTCAATGTGAGATCCATATAATTCTTTTCACATCCTCAAGAAGGCAAAAACTCAAATATTTAACATTTATCAAGTACAGATTTTTTTGCATGGGTGAGCTCCTAGTGGTAACTTGCAGCAACTGAAGGTGCTTTTTGTTTTGATATGTGGGTGCTAGCTGATGTGGCTTGTTTAGAAATGAAAACAGGATTGCAAATCATAAAGTTTCAATTGGGTCTGGGCTTGATATTCCCCCTCCCCTTCCAAAAGGCCATCATTTACCCATTCATTATCATTGAAGGCAAGACTACATTAAAGGAGAAGGCAAATGGTGATCCCCTTCCTTCTATTCTTTAGTTGTTCCTAAATTACACTTAAAATGCAAAGGCGAGTAATTAAACATCTATCATCAAGAAGCCATGTAGACCACTCTCACTGGGATTACAAGATGTTTGTTTTTATTAGGTTCCAACATCCAGGCCACAAGTTGAGTAACTTTTAGAAATGTTGGGAGATTGCCTTTCTTTAATCAAGAATTTAATCACTGATAGAGATCTTAAAGGTCTCTTCTTATTGCGTTCTCATCAAGTCAATTTTAGTGTGTAATGAACCATTGGATCTTTCATCATTTTCTCTAATTCTTTCTCATGAGATTTGGAAACTACTTCTTGTCATTATAAGAGAAAGAAAAACCATTAACTCCTCAGAGAGACTATTTTCAAGGAGTTGACACATGTCAAGCCAGGGAAAACAAGTAATGCTTTCGAGAGATACCTGCTGGCTTCTGCGATTTCAAGGAAAATGTGCCATTGATTTATTTATGAGAGCCTATGGCCTTTTTCCTTTCTGGGTTTAAACATGTATTTGATACAATACAGAATTAAGACATGGCGAAGAAAAAAGAAAAATGTATATTTCCCTTTACCTGTCCTTAAAAAAAAAAAAAATGGGCTCTTTTGCAGGGAGTGTGGATGTACTCATTAGTGAGAGAAATTTTAAGTTGTCACCTTCCATTTTATTTTATTTTTTAAAGATTTTATTTATTCATTAGAGAGAGAGAGAGAGACAGAGACAGAGCACAAGCAAGGGAAGAGGCAGAGGGAGAGGGAGAAGCAGACTCCCTGCTGAGCTGGGAGCCTGACTTGGGGCTTGATTCCAGGACCTGGAGATCACTACCTGAGCTGAAGGCAGACACTTAACCGTCTGAACCACCCAGACGCCCCTGTCACCTTGCATTTCAGATTTAGTTTTATTTCATACTCACTTTCCTTGTTAAGCTGCTTCTCCTCTTCTCTTTAGAGAAGAAGCTGAAAAGAATCAAAGGTTTAAATCAGGAAGTGACTTCCAAGGACATGCTTCGAACTTTGGCCCAAGCCAAGAAGGAATGCTGGGATCGGTTCCTGCAGGAGAAGTTAGCATCAGAATTTTTTGTGGATGGACTTGATTCTGATGAGAGGTAATTGGTTCTCAGTCCAGTTCCAGTTGACAGCATTGCATTGGGGACATTTCTCTTTCTCTAAAGAATTCGGGGAGAGTGACATTTGAGTCCAGATACTGGTTGATATCAACATCAGCTTTTCTAAGCTCAAAATCGTCCTTTTGACGGATGCTCTATTTGCTTAGTCCAGTAGCAGGTGTTGATAATTATTATTTTTGCAAAAGAGCAAATACTCCGCCTGTATCTAGATCACAGATTGAACAGAATTGAGGATAAAGCATGGTCTTCATTCCTAAGTACACAGCATGCTTACGAAAGTTGTAACGATCAACAACTGGAACTGTGTCTTACTTGACTAGCCATCGCCTTAGAGAGTTCCTGTCATATCTCAGGCATTCAAATTAGTATAGACTAAATGAATGAATTTCTTAAGCATCTACTGTGTGAAGGCACTACTCATGATGTTATGGGGCTGAGGGTGCTAGGGTGGCGGGGAGATGTAAGGAATTTTTAGTATCCCTCCCCCATTTTTTCTTGGTCCTCAAAACTATTTGGGGAGAGACAACAAATTTTTATAAAGACATACCTAACGAAATAAGGCAGCATAAGAAAAGAGCCGGGTGAGTGCAAGTGACAGAACATGCTTTGGGAGTTGAGAGACTCTTGAGCTCCCTGTGGGCTCTGGTGTTTGTGCCAGAGAAGAAGGTAGGACTTGAGGAGTATCTGCAGATGGGCTGGGTGCAGAGAGAAGAGGGCTTTCTGCCGCAAAGAGAGGAATGGTGCTCGGTGCTCGACACCTGAGAAAGAGGCTCTGCCACTTCCTGGTTGTATGTTCTTGAGGAAGTAACCTGGGTGTGCCTCAGTTTCCTGCTCTGTAAAGCAGGAATAGTAGCTCTTCCCTCATCATGCTGTGGGGAGTGTTAAAGGAGTTACAGTGTCTCAAGTGCTTAGAACAGACCCGGCACCTGGTAAGTACAATGTAAATGTTAGCCATGGGTGTTAGTCCTACTGGACTTTTAAAGTTCAGTAAGCAATTATTCAAAATAAAAAATTGGTGAGGGAAGTAAAAGCCTGAATGTTAACAAAAGGTCTTAGGGAAACATCACCTAAGTTTGCAACACATCATTAACATTGACTTTAAGAGTCCCCTGATGTCAGATAAAACAGCTGCTGAAGTCGGGGACTGTAGGTGAATAAAACTTGATAGTTACATTTTACTTTTCAACATACAAAGCATTTTCACTTACATTGTCTTAAATACTGCATCAGTGTGCCCCCAGATTCTTCAGAAATTAATGTGGCATCTAAAGTCAGCCCAACTACCTACCTTCTGAGGGTTCAGAAAATCATACACATTTTGCTCTTTTCTGTCTCTGAAGACAACCCAGTTGAGCCTTAAACTCCCCTTAAACACAAGAGACTTGAAGATGCACACATTCCCAACCCATCGATCATTTGGTACTCTATTCTCTCTCCCCTTGAATGTTTGCCTCCTTTCCAGTTCTGAGAAGAAAAGACAAAATTTGCTCCTGCACAATTCTCAAGTAGAAATTCTTCTTCTTTTGAAAGCAGATCAGCACCAAGGCTCGAGTTAATGTTTCTGTATGACTGTCAGTACCTTACAATGATGTGATGATGTTCCCTTTTCTGTAGAAGCGACTGAAACAATTCTGTGAAAAGTGTGGGAGATGAAGATGAAATGCTCCTGGAGTGCCCTGGGCCTCTGAGCTGTGGGCACCCTTTCCCCTGAGCTGCTGTCTGTGGGAACACTTCTTTCTATGAGTGTTAGAACAAGTGCATCAGAAACAGTAGATAGGCATTTATTTGCAGACGTCAGAGTTTCTTTTTTAAACAGAGGCCATCTTGTAGTGGAACCTTGTGGTTCTTCACATAAGTGAAGGCCACAGATAGGTGACTCTCCTCATGGCAATGCCTTTGGCAGAGGAGTAATGGGCTGAGAAATCCTCCTGGCTATCACTCGATTCTGCCATTTTAGTCGTCTGAAACCTGCTGGTAATGGCTTGACCTCTTGGCTTAAGACTTTGGGCTGTTGAAGAGCATAGAATAAGGCTTCCGTTATTTGTCATTATTTATAGTTTACTATGTATATCTTGTAAGCATTAGAGTGGAGGGTCTTGGGTACTTAAGGAAGGTGAGAGGGGGCCCTTTCCCCCCTCCTCACAGATCCAAACCCAAAAAGAGCCCTCTGGCACAGTGGCTATTTCTCTGTGGGAGAAATTACCACGCAGATGTTTCCATCTTGGGGACGTGCTATAGGATGAAGTAAACAAACAAAAAAAAACCCACAAAAATGATGCTTTGTGCAGCTAACTGCTTTAAGTATAATGGAGTCTCGGAGTGCCTCAGGTACGGGAGATTTCAAGATGCTCGCTAATAATTTGGCATTTATTTAAATGTTTCCTCCCTTGGACAATTCCCTCTCTGGTTTTAAGGGAAAAAAGACAGGACCGAGGCATAAGCTTTTCTCCAGCTATTCTTGCCAAGCCTTTAGAGGCTGTGCATTTGAAGGGGGCCTGGTGCTGCTTATAGCCAGTGCCCACTAGGGGGTAAATTATGCCGCTGAGCTGCCAGGATGCACAGCTGTTAGAGGGGTATCGTCATCCCCCCGCCCCCCCCCCTTAGCAGTGAAAAACAATTGTAGGAAGAAATTGGTGGTGGGCGGGAAGGCAGCATTTGAGTAACTGAGATAATCATTAAGTAATTAATCAGCCGGGTCTGACGCAGCCGCCCTATCCTCCTGCTCTCTCCTAGCACCTTGGAGCATTTCAAGAGGTGGCTCCAGCCAGATAAAGTAGCCATCAGTACAGAGGAGGTCCAGTATCTGATTCCTCCAGAGTCCCAGGTTGAGAAGCCAGCGGCTGGGGACAAGCCAGCAGCAGCGGAACAATAAATTACATACACACACACAGAGCAGCTGTCTTGGGTCCAGAGGGAACAGCAGAGAGCTCGGTGGAGCAGCAAGGAGAAATCTAGGGAGGGGGAAAGCCCACCCTCCCACTCAACAAAGCAAACAGCTGTGGGCCCCCGAGGACTTGCTTGGGGCTGGCGTGTGTGACTGTCGGATAAAGTGACCGCCCCCGTGCATGCTGGATCAACATACTGCTTTCCTCTGGGTCTCACAGCTTGCCTGAGCTCTGTCGATGCAGGTGAGAAGTCCGCTAATACTCTAGCGAAGCAGCAAGTATGAAAGTATTTGGAGAAACTGATACCCTTGGGTTTAACATATAAGCTAAGTAAGCCATATTTTTTCTTTCCTCTTCTGGATGTTCCTGCCTGCGTTCCCAGCATTCCCTTGGTTAATTGTCAGGGGTGAGTGGGGCCAAGGAGAATCAAGTCTGCCTCCTTGGGAACCACAGCCCACCGTGGGGCTTCTCGAAGTTTGTAATAAATACAGAGACTTGAGGAAAAGAGGCTGCGCTTTTCACTTTTATGGGTCTGGTTTGTTCTTTGTGGAGAAAACGGGCAAAAGTATGAAAACTTGGGTGTTTGTGTGTACATGTCTATTTTTTGATTTCATGCATGGTTTCTCCCCAAACTTCCTCTTGCACTTAAAAAGGGTCAGGCTTCAAATTAGACTTGTAAATATGGTGTTGGTATTTGACACCACTCCTGAATAGTTCCAAGCTCACTTGTGGCAGTTTTCCTGACTGAACCTGTGTTTCCCTCCTTTATAGTGTTCTTGTTTAGCCTGTGTTGTCCCTATAAAACTTTTCGCATCAGAATAGCCATGTGTGTGGTGCTCTCGACCTGCTTCCCCCACCCAGAGAGATGCTCCCAGGCAGTGAGGAGGTAAAGACAAGTGAATGATGATGTAAGAGAGCAGATTACCTTTGCCAGCCTTCTGTTTTTAACATGCACCCTCCAACAAGGCAGACCTCGGTGCTCTGAGGGTGGGATTCTGTGGCCAGGATTCTGTGGCTGTGGCTCCATGGAGCTTCTTCCTGGGTAATAGGTTTCAAGTTCCTAATGACTAGCAGGGCAACCCCAAAAATCTGCAGAGAACACGTGCCTGTATCTAAATCAAATTTGCTTTGTCTGAAAGAACAGGAATCAACCAGGTAATCTGATAAACATGCTGAATTAAATGAATTTGGGGAGACATACTTTCTTTTTTTTTTAATTGATCGTCTTAGTTTTATTCCTCCTGCTTTTTAATAGTAGGATTCCCTTGACATAGAGAGTGACCCTTTGTGTTTCCCAGACACTTTGAGGAAGCCAGACACTGACAGTCACCTGACCCTGGACTTGCAGGTTGCCATCCCCGCCCGGGGTTCAGGTGCTAGACCACACTCTTCCTACAGGCCATCTGATGGCTTTCAGGTGGATGGACAGAATTTTTTTTTTTTTTTTTTAAAGACTGAGTTTTCTTCTCCCTGCATGATAAACAAAAATTACTCTTTTCTCAGTAATTTTTTTTAAGAGAAAAAGTGGTAAGGTCTCAAAACACTTTCCTAAAGAGCAGCCCATCATCAGACAGAGAATGTATCCATACCAGAAAATAGTGTTTCAGTAATTCAGGCGAGATTCTAGCTTTGCCTTTTCCCTACCTCCCATTTTCTACCTAGTTAACACATATTAGTGTGAGAAGGTGGAGAATTGAGTTAGAGGAACCAAAAAGAAACTTTGGGACTGGAAGGGTTTTAGCCCCATGTGAAAACCTGGGTGGGGTATGGGACAAAGGTCCCAGATCTTCAGCTCCCTGCTCACCTAACTTTTTAGTAGAGGCAGATTGCCACAAAAGGGAGTCCAATGAGTTGCAGTTCTGATTTCTGATTGGCTTAGAGGTGACAACCTAAGTGATCACTTTTTTGGGGGATGGGGGAGCAGGCTCCATGTCGAGCTTGGGGCTTGAACCCACGGTCCTGAGATCAAGATCTGAGCTGAAATCAAGAGTCAGATACTTAACCAGCTGAGCCACCAGGTGCCCCAGTGATGGTTCTCAAAAAAAGTGAAGCACCATTTACCAAAAAAAATTTGATGTTAGCTCCCCAAACTGACTTACTATAATACAGACTTAGCTTAGCTATTGAAATGGTACTAAACTTGAATCCGAGTCTTGAGTGCTATCTTTACTGCCTTGTGGTTTACCATGTGATACAAATAAGTCAAATGACCTCTTTGTGTTGCATTTCCCTTTTAGAAATTCGACTAACCATAGGAAAAATTGTATTGACCAGAAATGCTGATTGGTTTCCTTTGACCCCGGCAATTCCGAAGGAGCTCCAGTTAGCACTTTCCCAAATCAGTAAAATTTGAGTTGAGAGGGCTTTTCTTATTACCCCAAGTGAAACAGAAAGAGCAAACAGAGCAATATTTAATGCTAACCCTTAGAGCCAAGTAAGGACAATTACCAGTAGGGCAAAGCAGAAATGATTTGGTATACCCAAAGAAGTCTGGGTTAGAGCCAGGGAGATAAGCTAAGTGACGGGTGACCACCACTGTTCTCTCTTGGCACATGGTGCTCATCACCCAGGGCTTGGTAAGATTGGTGCTGGAATAGCACAGACTTGTGTCCAGTCCTGTTCCAGAAATAGGCTCTGGATGTAGGCACAGAAAGTAAACAAGCAACCCACCAGCTGTTGCCAAGCTGTGTCCCTCCCAGGCAGGCCTGCCCACCAGGACTGTCGCTGGAGGAAGGGAAACATCCTGAAGCCACTCCCTGGCCCTGCCTTGGAGTCACTCCCCAAGGTTGAGAAAAGCTGCAGCCACGGGAAGCAGATTTTCCTGAAAATTCCAAGACACTCCAGCCAGCTTTGGCCCTACTTGAGTTAGAAGATTCAAGATGGGGGGCGCCTGGGTGGCTCAGAGGGTTAAAGCCTCTGCCTTCGGCTCAGGTCATGATCCCAGGGTCCTGGGATCGAGCCCCATATCGGGCTCTTTCCTTGGTGGGGAGCCTGCTTCCTCCTCTCTCTCTCTGCCTGCCTCTCTGCCTACTTGTGATCTCTCTCTGTCCAATAAACAAATAAAATCTTAAAAAAAATTAAAAGAAAAAAAAGATTCAAGATGGGACACTGCTGTGGCAGTCTTCAGTGTGTGGGAGAGCTGTGTACTTGAACCCAGAAGTGGGTTACTGAAGGCGTAGATTCATTTACCTAGGCCATATTTGTTGAGCCCCTGCACTGTGCATCATGGTGAACAGAGCAAAACCACATCTTCCCACGTGGAATGGTGGAGGGAGTGAGATGGCCTAGCTGATTAGCACTGTAATCGCTTGGGCTGCAGAATCAAGGCATTAGCATAGCTGCTTTAGAGCATGTGCCAGGAGCTATGAGAGCCCTAGGCCAGTCAAGGTGGGAGGTAGGAGAGAGGCTGTGTTAGGGAAGCTGAGTCCAGAAAAAACAGGTAGTGGTCAGACTGTGAGAATGGAGGAAGAGGAACTTGGGGGCATAGTCAAGTCCCAGAAGAGGAAAACGGCATGTACATAGGCCTAGAGGCAGAAGAAGGTATAGAGACTGGAGAGTAGTTCGGTATAGTTGGGGTCATAAAGGACAAAGGAGGAAGCATCAAAAGGTGAGGTTGGAAACTAAGAAACAAGGTCGGGTGTGAAGGGCTTTGTAAGTCACGTTAAGGAGCTTGGATTTTATTGGGGCAAGAAGGAGCTATTGGGTTCTTTTTTTTTTTTTTTTTTTTTAAAGATTTTATTATTTGAGGGATGAGGGAACAGAGGGAGAGGGACAACCAGATTCCACACCAAGCGCAGAGCCCGATGCGGGACTTGATCCCACGACTCCGAAATAAGGACCAGAGCCGAAATCAAGAGTGGGACGCTTAACCCACTGAGCCATCCAGGTGCCCAACTAATGGGTCATTTTAAGAGGAGCAGTAAGAGGATCGGATTTGGATCTGGAAAGACAGGGCTGCCATGGATACCACATGATTAAGTTGATTAGGGAAGCACAGATTCACATTTGGCAATGGTATGTCCAAATGAATAATGCAATTAGGTGGCTTGTAGTTTTCCCTTATTTATATTTTCTAGCTTAATTTCTTTGAAGTTACTGTTTCACTATTATAGAATAAATAGAATCCTATTTGGCAGATTGCAAAGATCGACATGGCAATCTCATCCCATCCTTTCATCCTACAGTACAGACACTCCTCACTTGGGACACTGGGTCGGTGTTCCCTCCCACTCTGTCTACTTGTGCTCTCTATCTGTGTCAAATCAATAAATAAAATCTTAAAACAAAAAAAACAGCATGGAAGAAAGAGGTGGCTGACAACACATGAGTAAGAAGAAACCAACAAAAAATTTAACAAGTTAAAAGGCTACACGTGGGCTCACATGTCAGTTTAGAATAGCTGGAGACTATTCCAGACACGGGAGAGTTGTACTCACGGTAAGCTTTCTTCCATAGGCCTCCCTCTGAGGTTCTGAGGAAAAGTGGGAGCAGGGCAGGAAAATGGGGGAGGGCTTTCCTCCTCCAAGTTGGTGGTGCCAGCACACAGGACTTGGTAAGGCAGCTGCTGAGGGAAGGCAAAGAGCCTCAGCTGCTTCTGCAATCCTCTTATAAACCAAAGCCTTAAGCCCCTGGGGAAGGGGCAACGGAGTCTTGCTTCGGGGGAGTGATAAAAGCAAAACTCACCTGCTTCTGGGTGAGGAGTCAAAACCTTTTTGCCCTTTAACACAGCCAAAGATCCGTTGCTTCAGTGAGTAAGAATGGAAGCAAAATCCCTCTATCCCAATGGGAAAGCAGGAAACAATCATGGGCTGAAGATTCAAGCAAGGGTCTGGTCTCCGGGGTGGGTGGGGGAGGGCAAGAAACTTGGGCCACCCCAAACCAACCACAGATATAAGGCAGAATTTGGCTTTCAGAGGGAGTGGGGAGAAAGCCTCACTCTTGCCCTCGGGATGTTGTCTAAGACTAAAGCAGAACCTGGATAACAGACACACACATCCTCAGCCGACCCCCACTGCCTGTCCTGCCCCTTCAGGAGCCTACAAGCACATGGCAAGCAACAGCGGTCCACTGCTGATGGAGGGGCAGGCATGCGGGGATGGCTGAGAAGCTGAGGGCAGAGCAGGAGCCCAGAAAAATCCTCTGACACCCCAGTCCCTACTCTAAGCAGCCCACTACCAGAGGAATTCAAAGACTGTGACATACGGAGGTAATGGTGGGAACGACAAACCCCAAACCCTACCTGACTCCTAACTCTACTGATTGAACCCCACAGACCAACCGAAGAGGCACGCCCACTTCCAGCCATAAATACCATTTACCTCAGTCTCTGCTCTTTACACAGGATGGGTATTCAGTACAAATTTGTGAAACACATGAAAAAGCAAGAAAGAAAAAAACCCCAAACCATCATCAAAAGATAAATCAACAGAACTAGACTCCCAGATGACAGATTTTGGAACTCCTGGGTAGGGACCTTAAAATAATAATGACTAATATGTTAATGGG